TATGTGTGCGTGTTCTTTAGATCCTCAGATGGCTCTAGCACTTTCGTGACCACGGGCTGAGAGTCTTTTGCTAGATTTTGGCATTTAGCAACTGACATACGGTTTAAGGTGAAGACAACAACAACAACAACTCCTGTCCTGCAGATGCCGTCTCAAAATTTCAGGTTCTGATTCGACAAAAACGCGCGGAAATCCGGTCCAACCGTGAAATACGCGTCTTGGCTGGACCAGCTTGTAGAGCCATCAGAAGATCTGAAGAACACACACACTAGTAGCAAGAAAAGGGTACACAAGCCCGAGGAGGTACACCTGCAATCCCTGCAGCACGATTGCGTGCTCACAACTGAACTACACGCCCACACACTACAATTCAGCAGTAGCATCACCCCCCTTTTCCCGCAATTAACCAAAATGAATGTTTGTCGACCACAGCGTACTGCTGTCTGAAGTGCTGTCTGTACAAAAATAACACCATGGTGCATGGTACACAAGCTCGGGGCATGGAGTTGCTGTCTGAAGTGCTGTCAGAATGAGTCCGTGGACATACAACGAAGAAGAACGCCCAACCAAAGCCATCATTGCAATTGACCATCACCCGAATCTATCCAGATCATCTGGCACAGCAGTGTAAACATCGACACTGACTAGGAATCGTTCCACATTGAAGGGGTCTTCCACGATGCAGGTACACAATTTAAGGTACCCGGGTTATCCGCGCCATCTCTGCCGCGTGGGTACAAACCACTCGGAAAAAGAAAACAAATTGACAGAAAGAAAAGAACAGGTACCGCACCGACCGTTCGAGACAAGAGCCCTCGGAAACCGATAAAATAAAATAAAATAAAGGAGGATGCTTCCCACACCCGCCTAAAGAAAAAATCAAAGGGTAACGTACCAGCACCACAGGCACTACGCACCAGGGCATGGGAGTACCGGAGCGAACACGACAAAGAGTGTGTGTGGGGGGGGGCCGTCGCGCAAGCGCAGCAAGCAGAAAACTTTCGGCAAGGAAGCGTTCACATCGTAAAAAAGACAGGCATTCCAGGATGGCGAGTTCTCCGCTCTCCGTTCCTGCCCTGTTTATGGAGGCCGCGCGAAAGTTTCCTTGAAAACCACCTCGCCCGTCCGGCCGCTTTGATGCCTCCCTCCCCACAGGTAGACGTGCAGGAGAACGGCTACGGCGACGGGTTCGGGTGGAAGTTTCTGACCGACACCACCCTAACCGCGACTGTTCGTATATGTCCTTTACTTGGAAGGGGAAGGCGGTTTATCTCTTGTATTAGACACGCAAGGGGAGTAGGGAGAAGTGAAGCCCTCTTTGGAGTTTGAGGTATCCCTGCACATGCAACCATTTCAAGGTGTACATATGCCCCATCTGCGTGCCCTCTGTTGTTGCCGGTAGATCTAACCAGTCCGTATCCAAACACACGAACACCCTCCCCGGTTTGCACGCGAATGGCAAACCTAACGTGGGGTATTGATATGCGAAGGTTAATCCTTACCCTAAGCGAACGTGTGCCGATTCAGGTAAAAGTCAATCGACAGATACCCTGCGAATCGGATCCTCCTTAACACTCTCCACCCACAGAATTTACCCTCAACTGGGAACCTCTTGTGGCCAGGATGGGTAATTCGATGGAAGTGTCACAAGGTTCTTTGTAGGATCGACTCCAAGAGGAGTTCTCAGGACTGACACACATTGTGTCCACGGGAAAATATCCAAGTCAGGAGAAAAAGTGTGCACCCAAGGAGATTCGAACCAGTATCCTGCCGCTGACGCCATATATGCGAAGGTGTACCGATTCAGGTAAAAGTCAATCGGCGGATACCCTGCGAATCGGGTCCTCCTTAACAGATACCCCTGATCTACCAAAGGGACTCAAAACAACAACAGGCTCGAGGGAAAACCTGGGCAACCGGATCAAAAACCCTCGTCTAACACCCTAAAAATCGAAAACCGTCGCTATCACAAAGGATTCCAACGGCCGCACTTCCAAGACAAGACCAAGGCAGGACAGATTGAACCGGTCACGCTGATTACACACCCGAAGCAACGCTCTCGGCGTTTCTAGGCTCCAGCCGCGGGTGACGCGCCGGCACAACGCTTCCTGCGTGACGTACCATGGTCATATATGCCAAGTGCTAAAACCACCACATGAACCAAACAGAACAAGAGAACACTACATCGGTAGGTTCATCAGAGCCTTCCGGTGGTACT